TTTGGGAATGGAGTAGGAATGGGGGGAATATAAATCACTTAGCGATGGGTTTCGGACAAGAGGAAGCATGAATTTGTACAGGGACTTCATGGTCAGTGTTCTCTTGGGATAGTCACATTTGAGATGCTTGATTTCTTTTGCCACATTCTGAATACACAGAGAATTTTGTCAAGGAAACCTTTTGGAAAATACTGATGAAGATGTGCAAAAAACTTTTACTGCATGGAGCAGTCTCTTTGAGAGGCTGGCTGCATGCTCACCTAATTTAAAATTAGCCCTGTATAAATATGTTAGTCCTTTTATGGTGAGGAGTTGTTAGCATCCCACCTGAGTTCCAGCTTCCTTCTATTTCTGGATGCCTTCTCCTCCTGCAACCAGAGGAAGTGCCATGCTGTGGTAAAAGATGACTTAATAAATTGGTATTGGTAATGTAAATTACATTAAGCTAATTCAGGTTCAAGTTCACTGTTGGACTTTACACATAATGAAGACATCTGTTTAATTTTCATGGGCCTAGTCTGCGTTTAAAACAAAGATACATTTCAATCATCATGTCTTAATAAGACATACTTTCTTATCTTGTAAACACCATATTAGGTAAGTTCCAGTACGTTTGAATTTACTTACTAATTTTTCGACTTTCATTATTGTTATTGCAGGCTCGCTCTTACATAGCTGCAGTCCTTTTGCCTAATGAATTATACTGAAGAGGAAATTCTCAGCAGTGTTGAAGTTCGGGACGTGATGAATGATATTTCGGCTACAGTTTCCAGATGTTGTGGCTTTGTAATTCAACTTACAATGTTAATAGTTTATTTGAATCTATGCAGTAAATGATGTTTTGTTATTTGCCATTGAAACTTACACATGAATATAAACATTTTTGATAAAATGCTACATATTTGCCCATTTTTAAGTTCTTCCAAAACATGTAAAAAAAACTAATGCAGTTAGAACTCCATTCTTCACTGTCTGCATCCTTCAGAGTAAGATGCAAAACATTCAGAAACAGTTCCTTTACAATTTTACATCCACCTAAGCTGTCAGCAAATTACTGTAGTTGAGGTAACATGCTTTTTTCTATGGCACCATCTTCTGGTCTTCTCAGGAATGGAACGGAAATGGGTGGAAGTCCTGGAAACAAAACTAAAATGTTAAGGGGATCATTCTTTAGAAGGAATTGTTACTGATGGTGTTGAAGGTTAAAAGGGGCAAGGGTCACGCCAGTCGTAAGTAGCAAAGTGCTTATGCTGAGAGGCAGAGGCAGACAATTGGTGGGTCAAATAACTGCAAAGAAACTGCAGCTGACACTCAAGAGCATGTGAGTTAATACATGACATGAATGCACAGTGAACACTTGTCATACATAATAATGCTCGTTGAAACAAACAGAGCTTGCTGACACAATACACACCATATACTTATTAAAGAGGGCAATATGTCTAGTAATCTTTGTTCCTGACTACTCACTTTCTGGTCAGAATTACCATTCTGTCAGCAGATGACTTTGTATTTTTCTTTTTAGAAGCTTTAAGTGAACAGGTATGTTTTATATTAATATTGGTGTATAGTAAATATGTCTCTCTGTATTCATTTTAAATTTACTTAAGTGTTACAATTTTATGTTTCTTAAATGGCCTGGATGCAAGAACTTGATATGACAATGACATGTACACTTTGTTCCCTCTGGAAAGATCTGAAGACTTTCTGGTCATTAGATACTGAAATGCAGTAAAATCTATGACCGATATGCTGATGGTAATAAGGAATGAACATTGCAAATGGTGTCATAATGCCGCATTGTGTGTGTTCTTTTATCATAATTAAATGAATAAAGTTTTGATGAAATTACAGTAATTCCATTACTGTCTACAGTCTCTTACAGCTAAGAGTTCTAACTATGTGCTGCTGCTTCTCCAACTTTAATTTGGCCTTTGCAATTGTTCCTTCCTTGATAGCCTTAAGTGCGTCTTCATACTGGCAACAAAGAGTTTGTCTTGATGCCAAGTTTTGCTTAGTCCAGATGCCTTCATGTGTCAGGCGATGAAAGTAATTATGTGTCATGACAATAATATGAAGAATAAGTGCAGATTAATTTCCTGACACCTCCTGCAATAGATAATATATGGTTGGGTGATTCTTAATTGCATGCATTTCATTTAAGGATTGTGTTCTACTCCTAAAATAAAGCCAAGATAAAGCTCTTATAATCAAATGGTCACAAGTGCCTTGTTAGAGGGTTCAGCAATGAAACATCAGTTTAAAAGTAATATTTGGACAGGAATAACTGGTGATCACCTTATGAGTTAGTGTTTCAACTCTTACCCAGTATCCTACGTGAGCGATTAAATGCGAGCGTTGCGAGTTGCGTGGCTGAAGCGGAAATATCAAATTGGCTGTTTGTGTGGTGCTGTCCTAGGTTACAGCGAAGCGGTCAGCGGCAAAAGTCCGAGATCAAATATTTTGATATTTTCGCGCGAGTTGCTGCACTGGCCAGTAAGGCGCATGCACAAGAAAGCTCTGACCGTGCAGTACACGGAAGGTGCATGCGCAGGAAGGCCGTGTGCTTCTATTGCGGTCTCTCACGGAGGACACAACAAGCGATTCCCTTATATCATATGACACCCCATGCTGCTTATGCAGCTCGCTTGTTATCGCTTACGTAGGACATAGCCTTAGGGTGTCATATTTACATTTTCAACAGAATTGCCTCAAATACTGTTGGCTGTACTATTGAAAATGTGATAAAATGTGGTTTTCGCATGGCAAAGCTCCTGTTCATTTTACCTGCAACATAAATGAGCTTTTGGACTCTCATCACACTTGCTGATGGATGAGATGAACCAAATTGACTTCACGGCCTCTGTGGCCTGATTTTACACCTACCAACTCCTACCTGTGGGGGCATCTGAAGGGCATAATTTACTTGGAAAGAGTCAATATCCACAACTAGCTTTAGCATTTGATTCAGCGGCTGTGACAACAGTAAATTTTCAGGGTACTAGTGCCAGCACAGAGCTCAGTTACGCATTCAAAGTAACAGACCACATTTTCAGTGCGAATATTAAAATCCTGTTCAGGCGTGGTGGGTGGCACTCGACAAAGACCGTGAGAAATTAACTTGGAGCAATCGTGGAATTATGAGAGGCGAAGGAAACAGGGAGACCCGAAGAGAAGCTCAAAAATTACCAGTGCTCTCGTCAAGTACGACAGACAAATGTAGAATTAATTTCTGACATTTCAGGTTCGTACGATGGTAAAGAGAGATGTTGGGGTTTTATCGACGCAAAGCTGGAGGCAGCACGTCCCCCACCCGACCCCAAACAGTGCCCCTTCTAATTCACGAAGCGTTCCCACGCAGATGGAAAACATCGACATTATTCGCTACTTCATTTATTACATTGAAATCCACACTGACGATTAACGATGACTTCGTTTCTATCTAAAATCAGGAGACAGGTTGCCATGACAGTTGATGTAGGAAGCTTATTGTAAATGGTATTTAAGGCAAACTTCATATCCTTCGTCGATTCCTATTAGAACTTACATTGTACATGACACTCAGCATGTGAGTAATTTATGTATTTCTTATTTTTAATTCAGTCTTTCGGTCTTCCTTTAAAAAAGGGTCACTGCAATGAAAATGAACACGAAATAACGAGGCTATGAGGTCCTTGTGATTAAGCTTAAATAAATAATTACTTAGTGAAAATAAGCAACAAAAGACGAAAAGTAGTTTTTTCCGAGGCGTCATTTAACAAGGCACGGTAAGAGTAGAAATGCGTCCAACTCACCACACTCCACCGGTCTGCTCGTGCGTCGTACGCTTCGATCACATCTCCGTGGTGAAACCCACCAATAGCAAACAGAATGTCCTGTGGGATTTGCGGGTAGGCGAACTTCGGTGTCACGAATTCCTTCGTCATCATTTCTGAGCCGTGCAGAAACGCGAGTGTCTCCGATATCAAGGGTCTGCACGCCTCATTTTCCATCACGTACGGGTGATTTGATACCTGTTTAAGAGGTAAATGTGAACCTTATAATCCTTTAGGAAGGGATGCCATGTTCCATTGCAGAGGAGATAAGATATTCACAAACAATTTGGTAGGGAACTCGCCGAAATACACTATGGTATATACAGAA